CCTGGTGTACCTGTTCTTGGGTGTTCCTTCTTAAGGATACGATACATAATTGGATCCCTCATGATAACATTCTTATGTGCCATGTCTATCTTTGCTCTTAATACACATTGTCCTTCTTCATACACTCCATCCCTCATCCTGTACACAAACCCTAAACCCTAAACCCTAAACCCTAATTATATATAACCCCATTAAACCCTAGAAAAATATCACAATGTATATAAATCATAATAAACCCTCAGAACTAACCCTTCCCCTCCATTTCCCTTAATAAACCCTCTAAAACAGGAAATTCGACTAAACCCTTTTTTAGGGTTTAGGGTTTAGGGTTTAGGGTTTAGAGTATATAAATATATACTTTCTGAAATGTTCAAGATTTTCTTCAATAGTGAATTTATTTCTATAAGGACTTTCTTCTCCTGGTTGTGTAATACTTCCTCTTTTTCTTCTTATTTCCTCTAATGAATCAAAATCTACAAACCCTAAACCCTTTTTTATTATTTCTTCCCCCCAACTATATAATTGATCAAAATAATCTGACGCAAAATATAAATTTTCTCCCCAATCTCCACCTAACCAACGAACATCCCTTAGGATTGATTCAACATATCTGCAACAAAAATAAATATATTTATTTATTTATTTATTTATTTATTTATTTTATTTATTTATATTCTTTGTTTTTCTAGTTCGTTGGATAAACCCTATTAATTAAACCCTCATAAACCCTAATAAACCCTCATAAACCCTAATAAACCCTCATAAACCCTAATAAACCCTAATAAACCCTAATAAACCGTAGAAATAATAAGTAAATTGTACTGGTACATAATAAGAAGTGTATAGTATCTACTTTTTTCTTTATTATATTCAAAGTAGATAAATGTACCTAGTTTCTTCCTTAGTTGGATTGGTGTCATCAAACCTCATATGACATTTTCCATTGAATATTTTCGCCAACCCAAAATTAATACAAATTGATTTGGCGTGGCCTAAATGAAGAAATCCATTTGGCTCAGGCGGGAATCGTGTAACAATTTCTTTACATTTTCCTGTAGCTAGGTCATTTTGCATAATTTGGGCTAAGAAATTCGAAGGAATTGTACCTTCTATTGATTCTCCTGATACACCTGATACTCCTAATGATCCAGATACACCAGATTCACATACACCATGATTTGACGATTCTATTGAGGGGTCACATGATGGGGCTGCTCCGTCTGCTACTGGTGTTGCTGCTGCTGCTGATGATGCTGCTGTTGCTGCTGTTGCTGCTGCAGAAGCAGCTTCTGGTGTTTTATTCGTCATTATCTTCTGACAAGATGAGTAGAACAAACGAACAGAAGGAAAAGAAGAAAGAAGACAAAATGATGAAGGGGGGCCTCGCGGCCTAGTAGTAGTACTTTTAAGGCTTACTACTACTACTCTTGATGCCTTAACGAAATAAGGAGGGAAAGAGAGAGAATTAATGCCTAATAAAGAGGAAAAAGAAGATAAACGCATGCAAAATAAATAATTATATACATTAAACAACAAAAACAAAAGAAAAATAAATACAAAAGCCTACAATGACTGCAGCAGCAGCAGCAGCTACAGCAATCAACGAATTCTTTTTCAGGTGTACGTACACCGAAAGAAACACACAGCTACGCTGCGGTATGTAGAAGAAAAGAAAAGTCAATTCATTTAATTTTATTAATTATTTAATTATTTAATTTATTTTTTATTTATTTTTATTATTTTTTATTTTTTTCTTCAAGAAAAAGCAACGGATCTACACGTACAGTACAGAGCCCCACATGAATATGTATGGTGAGCCCCGTGTCAATGCAGCAGCAGTAGCAGCTAAATAGCAGCAATAAAAAATAAATACACTTTTATTATTTATTTTATTTAATTCTTTTATTTATTTTAATTATTAATTCTTTTTCTCGTCTTTTTCAATGCCAACAGATACATGCATGCATGCATGCATGCAATGTGTGCAACACACAGAAGATAGAGCTGCCTATACACCTGAAGGCAATGTTATTTTTCTTTGCTTCTTATAGAAAAAATCCAATAAAATAGTTTTTATTTATTTATTTTCTTCTTTTATTTATATTTATATAAATAATATATAATTATTACTATAAAAATATACTATTATATGTCTTACATAAATAATGTATTTATTCATTGAGCTGTACACACAGAAAGAGGTTAATAGTAATACAAATATTTGCTGCTGCTGCTGCTGCTGCTGCTGCTGCTTAATTAGTAAACTTTTTAATGTTATTCCTTCTTCTTTGTTAACAGAAGGAAATGTCTATTTAGACTAACAGACAACGATGACTGCTGCTGCTACTGCTGCTGCTACTGCTGCTTCTGCTGCTGCTGCAATTGCAGTTATTGCTGCAGTGCAGCAGCAACTACACATACATGCATAATGATACTTAGCAGCAAAACGGTTGTCTTTTGCTGCATGCACTAATACAGGCTTTATATATATATATATATT